AAGCGTCTCGAGCGTACGCGGCCGGGGCCGGCAGGGGAGCCCGCCACCCGCCACCACGGGCCGGGCTCCCCCAAATCCAGCGTCTGGCCGTGCCGGGCGGCAACGGCAGAACGGCCCTCAAACCTCCCGCAAAGAGAGGAGAGGAAAGGTAGACGGCAGGCGTCCGTCAGGCCGGCCCAACCACGATCGCTCACACGCCCGCGAGGGCCCCCCAGAGGAGGTAAACACACGCGGGCGCGCGCTCAGCCCCACCCCCAGCAGGCGATCTCACCCACACCTCCTCTCGTCGCGCCGGGACGAACGAGAGGACGCCGCTGGGGGGGAGGGAAACCCACACGCCCAACACCCCTCCCCCAGGGGCGGGGGGGGTGCATGAGGCGCAAGAGCCTCCCCTTCCCTACCGACTCGATCCCCGGGCGGTTTCCCGGCACAGCCAGAAAAACCCCCAAAGCGAGGTTCAGCACGCCAACGACGGCAGGCGGCTCAGAACAGAGGCACCGGGACACGGGTACGACACCGACCCTCAGCCTCGTGCACCTGGACAGACAAGCCGGGAACGCTCCAGGAGCACCGCAGGAGGCCGAGGCACGCTCGCGTGCCACAGGGCGCGGCACGCAGCGTAGTGGCGGGGCAAGCCGCTCTCCCCACCTCCGGGGAGGACTCCACCCACGCCGCAGACGCCCCCCGAAGGGGCAAGCGAGGAGAGTTCCATCGCGTCAAGCGACCACGACCCACCCCCCCGGGCGACAGCACCACAAGGGCGAGCGGGAGGGGAGCGAGGTCGGGCCGGATTCCGCACCCCTGCCTTCCACGCACCACCGAGAGGCGGGGTAGAGAGACGAGGGGCCCGCAGGCAGAACGAGAAGAGCGGTCCCATTCACCATGAATGTCCGTCCCTCGCCTGGCGCGGCTTAGGCCCGGCCCAGGAGAGCGCTCATTCACCACATCGGTCACAATGAAAGGAGAGGGGAAGAGACGGGACCGCGGGGAGGGCAGGCCTGGCAAGGACAGTCAGAGAAGAGCCCGCTTTCAGCCTCGCCAGTGCCACAACCCCCAACACCGCCAGCGGCCGACAACGACCCAGGGGAACGCCTGACACGCAGAAAGGCACGGAGCCACACTCGAGGGTCGTCTCAGACCGCACTCGGTGCCCGCGACGAGGAGCACACAGGGGCAGAGGGCCCCTGCCGCCATCCCCGCCACCCTCGGGTGCTAGAGACCGGAGGCGGCACCGAGCCAGGGGAGGCTACACTCGGATGTCCAAGAGCCGGCGCACGGGCCCCAGGGCGGACAGCTCAGGGGCGAGAGAAGCAGGGTTCCAAGTACCACGGGACGGCCAGCAAACCCAGAGCCCCAACTCGCCATCCGGGAGCCCAAATCCCCTCGTCTTTGCAGCAGCGGCAACCACCGAAAGACAGCGTGTCAGCATATACCTGCAGACACAAAACACCCACCTCTAGCCAAAAGATCTGTGACACATGACAGAGGGGACAATCCCCTGATCACACCCGCCCTCCAAAGCAAGGCGCCGGGGACCTGGCCCCTCAGACGACCCCAATGCTGCAGACGGCGGAGCACCCAGGGCCAACTGGTCGACCGCGGGGGTGGGGTGGGGGGGCGGGACAGGGCGCAGGGACGCTGGACCAAGCCAGCCCTCCATCAGCGCCCTCCCCGAGCCACCTGCTGGCGCGGGGGACAGCACGAGACCCTCTCACCTGGGCCTTCCTTGGGGAAACGGGCAATGGGCCGAGCCCTATGGCCACTGGGGTCCACTGGGTCCCCACTGGGGCCCGGAGGCCGGGCACCCTCCCCGGGCGGGCGAACCCCGCCGATCCTCGAGCCTAACTCGGACTTAGTCGCTGACTGAGACAGGTAGGTCCCCGCCCGCCCCTCCAAACACCAGGACCCACTCGGGCTCGAGGCCGAGGCCCCGACAACCTCCACGGGCGGGTGGCCCCAGCCCCGGCCCCGGCCCCGGCCCCGGCCCCGGCCAGTCCGCGAGCTCGCGAGCTCACACTTGGGGAATCACAACGATCCAGATCCAGACTTCCAACCACCGGGGGCAAAGCCCAACAGCCCTGCACGGCCCCTCGCGCTGCAGCCAGGACAAGGCGGGGACCCCGCAAGGAGTCCGGAGAAGAGCAAAGAGGAACACAGGCACCGGTGACCCGGCCGAGCTGGCCACACACTCCCTTCCACGAGCCGGCCCAGCCGGCTGCCTGCCGGGATGGAGGGAACACATCTCTTCCCTCCTTGCGTCTCGGTGGCCGGCCGGAGGGCCGCCGAGAAGCAGGAGGGTGTGCTGGTCGACCGGCTCGGGTCACCCACACACCCCCCGGCTAGCCGCGACCGGCCGCGGAAAGGCGGCAACAGTCACCTCTCACATAGCCCTGCCGATCCAATCTCCGCACAGCGCGCCCGCCGGCTCAGCTCAGGCACGACCGCTGCAGTCCCGCCTAGCAGGCGGACCTCCTGGGACTCTGTCCCCGTCGCCAAGGCCACACGTCAGCCCTTGCCGCTCCAGCTGCTGACTACGAGCGCGACATCATAGCAAAGCCACCACCAGGTGGAGCCCCACAACGACCTCAAACACCAGCGAGATCACCAGAGGTCTCTGAGCTGGAAGAGCAGGATGTTCAAAATCACCCTAAGGGGCCCAATCGGCGGGGTCCCCTGGCCTCCAAGGGGGGAGGGAGGACCGCGGAAAGGAGTAGGCGAGTGAGTGCGCGGGCAGGCAGGGTGGAGGGAGCCTTTGAATCCGGAGATAGATCAATCACCCGGGTGGGGGGGGGGAGGACGACAGCTAAAGCGAGGTCTGTCTGCCTGCCTGCCTGCCTGCCTGCCTGCCTGCCTGGTGCCTGGTGCCTGCCCGCCTGCCCGCCTGCCCACCTGCCTGCCCAGGAAACACAGAGAGTCCAAAACAAGCCACCTGAACAAGCTGCTGCAGCCCCAAGGAGGCAAAGGGCCAAGGGGCTCAGGCCAGCCCGGCAAACAAATCGCTACAAAGCGGGGTTGAGGTTGACGTTGTACTTCTCGGAAGCCTATAAATAAAGACACATGCTACAGTGGTTGTGCGCTCTCTCCCTCTCCCCCTCTCTCTCCCTCTCTCTCTCCCTCTCTCTCTCTCTCTCTCTCTATATATATATATATATATATATATATATATATATATATATATATATCTCGGCGACTTACAGCAAATTCTATCTACAGCTAGGAAAATCTTCAGGTGACCCTGATAAGTACCTCAATGTCTTTCAAGGATTTGCTCAGATCTATAGAAGCTAGGCTGGGAAGATGCAATGTCACTCCGAACGTCAATGACTTCTAGTGAGAGACAGGCAGTGTTACAAGCCGCTATTGCATTTGGACATGAGAGATGAGTATCATACCGTTCATTTTAGAAGACCAGAAGACAGAGAGGCAGGGGAACCACCAATTCCCAACGGTGCACAATCTTGGTTGGTTCCCAACCAAGACCCCGAGTGGCCTGACAACAATGTAAGAGATGAGAACAAGAGACATTTTTCCAGACGTGTATTCTTGAAGGTCTGAGGAGGATAAAATCCAAGCCTTCTAGTTATTTTACATTGTCAAGTACGTCTCTAAAGAAAGGTGAAAACCGCTCTGACTTCTTAGGTCATTTATCAGAGGCACTCATGAAACATGGATCCATAGATCCTGATTTATACAACTGCAAGTGTGTGTTTTTAAGTCCTGTATTACTTGTACCCTTACACTGTTTTGTTTTGTTCCCTTAAAAAAAAAATATACCCTGATTCAACAGAGGGGCAGATTTTGTTTAAAGATATGTTTATTACCCACTTAACTCTGGTCATTAAAAGAACAAAACAACAACAGCAGCAGCAACAACAAAACAAAACCTACCAAAGGTATCCATTGCTCCAGATAGTTATCCTGATTCTTTAATAAAAAGTGTTTCCTTAGTATTGTATAATCAGGACAGGGAGAGAACAGAGAGAACCCCAAAAAAAAAAAAAAAAAAAAAAATAGAAGCCCCCCCCCCCCCCACACACACACACCATGCCCTGACTGCGCAGGGGACCACTGCCTGCCCTCTGAGGCCAAGGCCCCAGAGTTCAGACCCATCCTATCCTATCAGCTGATCCAATAGGACTCAAGGTCCTCGGGGCACTTGCCTCCTCGCGCTGGACCCCTTTGGGTCTCTCAACTAATGTATCTGCCAAAAACAAAACAAAACAACGAAAAGTAAATGTTTAAAATGAAGAAACAATGTTACACAGTGAATTTATTAGATATATGTCTATGTGTGTCTATCTCCAGGAGTAACTGCTGTGTGTAAAACAACACACGTGTGAGTCTGTGTCTGTCTCTCTCTGTGTTTTAACACAGGCCCTTTAAATCTCCCCACCCCCATCACCTTTCACTCAAGGCTTTCACTGAAGGCAGAGAGGCCTCCGCGGCAACACCCACCCCACCTTCTCTCTCACACAGGCCTAAATCCATTTGGATCCTCCACTTTACAAAAGCATTCTACGTAGATCACTTTTACATCCACCTTTGTGTCTGGAACGAATTCTTTACACAAGGGCACAAAGCAGGGGACGGAAGGGTGGGCGAGGGGAGGAGGGGGAGGCGGAGGCCAAAGCCGAGGCCGAGGTCGAGGCAGGGAGAGGGACAGCAAGGTCAGCTCAGTGGCAGTTCCGGGATCAGAGGCCCAGGGGCCCGGGACCTGGGGTAGGGGAACCGCGCTAGGGCCGGATAAAGCCGGAACCAGGAGAGAGACGGGCCCCCGCGGCGCGGTAGGGGAGGGGGCGGCGGCCGGGGAGTGGGAGTGGTGAGCGAGGAGGCGAGGAGGCGGGCACCGGAGGGAATGAGGGGGCTGGGAGGCCGTGAGCGGAGGAGCTCCCCTACAAGCCTTTCCCTCCCTCTCCCCGGTTGTTTTGTTTTGTTTTGTTTTGTTTCGTTTCGTTTCGTTTTTGTTCTTGTGTCTTTCTAGGACACATTCAGGAGGGCAGCAAAATCCAGCCGAAAAAACGAGCGACTTCCTAGATAACCCGCCCCCCCCCCACGCGGACGCACGTAGACGCACGCACGCACACTGCGCAGGCGCACACTCGGCAGACGCGACAGCCCCCTCCCCACCCCCGGCAGCGGCGTCCGAGGGGGGGAGGGGCCACCACACACAGAAGCGGTTCCTATGCCGATGCCCCGCCCCCGTGACCCCGTGACCCCCCGCGCCGCGCGCTGGATCCCTCGCTCGCGCACACCTCGCGGCCCGCCGCCCCTGCCGCCGCCCAGCCCCCCCCTCCCCCCCAGCCCCGTCTGCCTTCCTACACTAAATAAGCTAGCTGTATTCCTTTCCCCTCCTCTCCCCTCCCCAGTGACATTCAGCCCCGAGAAATAGAGCAGAGGAGGCCCTGAAAATCAGCTCGGGCTGGGGAGAAGAGTGGGATGTTGTTGGATCCTGTACCCTGGGGCACAGGAAACACGGCAATGGTAAAGGACAGGCCAAGGAGGAAGGAAGGAAGGAAAGAAGGAAGGAAGAAAGGAAGGAAGGAAGGAAGGAAGGAAGGAAGGAAGGAAGGAAGGAAGGAAGGTGCAGTACCCCACAGGCCCAGGGCCCTGGATGAAGCTCAGTGACATCAGCGCCTGCCTGGCAGGTCCAAAGTCAAGAGTGCCAAAAACAGTCTGTACTCTTGCAATCAGACACCTGTCTTTCTGCTGTTTTCTTTCTTTTTAATAATAATAATAATAGGGCCAGCAATTTAGCTCAGTGGCACAAGTGCTTGCCTGGTAAGCACAAGGTCTTGAGTTTGTTCCCTGGTACTATATACATACACGTATGTATATAGCATTCAAATAATAACATTAATAGTAATTATAAATGAAAGGATTTTGCCCTAAAAGGGGACTCTGCAGCGCTGGGATGTGGAAGGTCAACTTCCCCACTCCTAGCCAATTTACCTGTGGTGTGAAATAAATTCCCACGGGCTACCTGTGCATCAGTAATGCCTCTTAGGCCCCACCCCAAACCTAAGCTACATGTGTGCGCCCACACCACATGTCCAGCAGAGAGAAAGCCAGACCCAGGAGGTCATGGAGTCTCTCTCTGCATTCTTAAAATAAAGGCCACTTTACTTTATGTTCTGTCTTCTAACCATGCCGAAAACTCTTTCAATAATTGTGTGTGAGTGTGTGTGTGTGTGTGTGTGTCTCCCTCTCTCTCCAGACAGCCTCTCCCTATGTCATTCATGTTGCTCTCCTTCCTCAGCTTACAGAGTGCTGAGATCACAGGAGCCACACCACCTCACCAGGCCTGCCTGTCTGCAAAGGCCTGTTTGCAAAGAAAACTGTTTCCATTTCAAACAATTTTCTTTAAAATTAATCTTACACCAACTACTTTCCTTTCAGCCTTCTCCTTTTCTTCTCAATTAAGAATCAGTCCATCTCAGCCACTCACTCACTCACTCACTCACTCACTCACTCACTGAGTTCCCTGTCCCCAGGCAAAATGAGGCCTGAGCTGGGAGAGGAAATTTACATCTGAAAGGTCCAGAGCAGGAAGGGAGGGGTGGGCGGCTCGGTGGAAAGCGAGGCAGCCCTCTGTCCCTGACTGAGGAGCCAGATTGCACTCCCACGGCCCAAAAGAAAGCATTTTTATTTTTATTTTTATTTTTATTTTTATTTTTATTTTTATAAATCGCAAAGTCCTAACCTCTTTTTGTAAATGATTACTGGTACAAAAAATAACGAGTAACAAGTTCTTGATTTCTTTCTCATGATGTGACCCAGGCTCAACTCTAGTGATCCTTCTACTTCTCTCAGCCTCCCGAGTGAGTGCACCATCACACCTGGCTCATGCAGAAGTTTTGCTTGTACCAAGCAAGTACATTCCTATCCATTGTCCTAGTTCTTCCTCAGAATATAGTACTTTTTAAACTGGGTGTGGTGGGCACACTTCTGTAATCCCCGTGTTTGAGAGGCTGAAGCAGGAGAATGGTTTGTAAATTCCTGACTGGAGATGGGTCAGCCTGGGCTGGAAAATGAGCCCAAGGCCAGCTTGAACTGCATAGGGAGACCCTGTTACAAAGAAGGAAGAGAGAGAGAGAGAGAGAGAGAGAGAGAGAGAGAGAGAGAGAGAGACAGAGAGAGACAGAGAGAGAGACAGAGAGAGACAGAGAGACAGAGAGACAGAGCAGAGAGAGAAGAGGAGGAGGAGGAGGAGGAGGAGGAGGAGGAGGAGGAGGAGGAGAGGAGAAGAAAAGAAAAGAGAAGAGAAGAGACTACTTTAAGGCTGGCTGCTGTCTTCGTATAAGTTACAGTGAACTATTGATACTTTTTCACAAAGAAAACTCCTGACCTTCAAGAAAATGCAAGGGAGCAAAAGTTATTTAATCCCTCCATTTCTTTAAAGAACTGGTCTTAGTTTTTTCCTACTACATCTAAGAAAGGAAAAGTCAATGCCCATATACATGTTTCTTGAGCTAAAAGGTACCGGAAAATATATTCACGACACATCTAAGAAATGGGTGGTAAAAAGATGAAATCTTTGCAAAAGGTACATGTTTGTTGAAGGAAGCTACATGTGCTACTCTCCAAAAAGGAAGGGAACTATCCTGCAACTCTGGAGGTGCCACTTTGGCCTCCGGAGACCCGAAGGAAAGAAGATAAACGCATTCTAGGCAGAAAATGGAACCCCTTGTTTAATTCACTGACAAAGCAAGCTATGGTTTGGACTTCCACCCCCATCCCTTTGTCCCTCAGGCCCACTAGTGGCTGATGTGCGACTGACTGACTGACTGACTACCTGCCTAAAATTCAAATCCTGCTTTGAATCCTCACAACACCACAGGGGAGCTTTGAAATCTATGCTTTGGAAAGGCCTATACTTTTTTTTTCTAAGTCCATGTGAAGTGTTTTGTTCTGTGTCTCATCATGTTTGCCAACGTGCCTTCCACAGTTCTTGTGACCAGTGGCCATTCTCTGTGACACGTGGGGATAGTTTTCTGTGACTGTTTAGAGTGTGTCCCTGACATGGATTAGTCCTTACCATAGCATGGCCACCTGCCCCCACCCATTTCCA